CCTCGGTCCATTTTCCAGCCTGACCAGCCTTCCGAGTCCTCCCTAGCAGCCTTGGAGCAGTGCCCTGCTTCCCGCAACACAGGCTCCTTCGGCTCTGAACGGCCCCCCACAGAGTAGTTCACGCCAGGCTTGGCCTTGGGGTCAGAGCCACAGGGCCCACGTGGCATCACCACCGGGTGTGTCCCAACTAATAAGGTTTCCAGGATATGCGGCGTTCCTCCGCCTCCTTCGTCAGCAGGAAGGGCCTCAAAATTCCTTACCAGTCCGACGGAGCTGGGCGGCGTGAGCCCACTGTGTTCAGGCCACGCCAGGCACAGGACCCACTTGAAGCCCCTCAAGGCAGGCCACTGGCTGCTTCCCTCCCCACCCCACCACCACCTTCTCTCTGTGAAGCTCTCAGCACACGCGCCTGAAGATAAACCAAACCGCCACACTGAGATTGCTGGGGGTCAGACCAACAAGTGTACCCCGACCCCATACAGTAGGAGGAAGAAAAGGTTGTTAAGGAAACATAATGGTTGTTTTCTCCAACCTCTTAGAACCTGAAGCAACAATTTTTAAAGGTGCCTTAATTTATTTCTACATAGAGACAAACATAACATTAAATCATTATCAGACATGAGAAAAGCAAAGCAGCTGATCTGGCTTTCATTTGACTCCATTTAGTTAAAAGTGGCTTTCAACAGGGGTGGGAGGAGGAGCCGGAGGGAAGAAGTATAATAATACCAAGAAATGCCCTTGATGGAAATGATAAGGTTCCTGTTGAAAGATGGTGTGGCTTTGTGTGCAGGAAGAAAGCAGCCATTCCTTATGGGGAGATCCTGAGGCGGGCCAGCTTTCTCATGTAAATCCCCCGGCTGCTGTAGACACCAGCTGCACCCTGGGACTGGCAACCCGAAGTCCAAATGCTGGTTCTAGTCCCGGGCACCGGCTCAGAAGGCTTTGGGGTTCACGGAGGGGAGAAGGCCCACCTTTCATGGCCCAGAGCGCACCGTGAACCTGACCTGGGGTCTGGGCCCCAGCAGAAGAGCCTGAGCGGCCAGATCGAGGTCACGGGGCTGACCTTTGTTTGACATTGGAAATCGATCATAAAAGAAATCTCTGTTCTTTGTGAGAAAAGACAAAGAAAGGAAAAAAGGTAGGAAAAGGCTCCGAATGGCATCAAGCAAGGTTTGAAAAGCACAAATCCCACCCTGCACCCAATTCTCATTCCCCGGAGGGGCCCCAAATCCTTACCTGCACCCAGGACAGTGACCAGAGGTCACAGTCCCACTGGGGAGGGATTTGGAGGAGGAGCCACGAAGGGGAAGAGAAGAGGAGAAGAACGTCTATGTGTAGACAACCGGCTCTTCCGACGTAACAAAGTGCAGATGCCCCCTCCTTGCCAGCCAAGCCCAGCGTCCCCAGGCCTGTAGGCCCCAAGGCCGTGGGCAGCATGTTCATGCAGACAGTGCGCGCCCTCGAGCAGGCACTGGGCCAGGCCGCTGGGTTAGAGCAGATCACTAATTTGGCCCCAGGTGCTGGTCCCAGGGCAGGGCGCCTGTCCACCCCAGTCCCATAGGCCCCTCATGTCCCCAAGAACCAAGTCCAGGCTCCTCCCCGCAGCCCAAAGGCCCCTGTGAGCTGGCCCAGACCCTCTACTCGGGGCTACTTGATTTCATTCTATGCTCTGCTCAACATCACCTCGGAGAAGCCTCAACCTCCTTTCTAAAATCAAAGATCCCTTCTTCATGCCCTTATGCCGCTCTTCCCCCCCAACAGACTATCACTGCCTGACCCTACAGGATGTGCCACTTTTTATTGTCTGGGCCCCACAAGGAGGCCAGGTCCTGACCTGGGGCAGGGACTATGTCTGTCTTGTGGGACCACATGCCCCCTGCCCCACACACAGAGGGGCACCCGCAAGTCCACGTCGGATGAAAGAATGAATGAATGAATGAACGATTGAGGGAGTGACGAATAAGTGAATGAGCACAGCTGCGCTGGCTGAGAGCATCTGTCCTGCCAAAGGCCGTCCCACGGCTTCCTGCTGTGCCCGACCACCGGGGCTCAGAGAACGAGCCCCCCAGCGGGCCAGCCCGGGCGTGCTCAGGGGGGGCACCCACCACCCACATCCTCCAGCCAGACGCAGCACCTCGGTTCCCGCCTCCGCACGGTAGGGTCCTGGCTGGGCAGATGCGTGCACCCAGCACTGGGGACGCTGGGGTGGTGTGATGGCATGTTTCACAGGTTTCCACAGCCCCCTACCTGGGCATCCAGCCCCAAAGGGCAGCAAATTGCCCATTTCAGTCTTCGTCTTACAGCCTAGACATGGGATAAGGAAGGTCCTGTGGCCCCACCATCGTGCAAAGACAAAATGGACTCATGGTGGATCTGCCTCCCTAAGAAAATGGCAGCCCTGTGACTTCCCAGCTCTTGGAAGCATCTGGAAGTGGGAGGAGATGGAGGTGAAAGGGTTCCATGTCCCCTTCCCCAAGGGCGTCCCCTTCCCACTCCCTCTCCTCCCACCCTGTCTCAGCCGGGACAGCGAGCACGCACAGTGACCCCTCGGAGAGGACGTTCTGGCCGGGACTCGACAACACATCAGGTGTGAGAGCAAAGTCAGCGGCGTTCTCCGCTCAGCCCACCCCAGACTTTGAAGCCAGCTGCAGAGAGCAGGGAGCCTAAGTCCTCAACCCCCGGCCAGGAAGACAGACCCAACATCCGGACCTTTCGCCGGGAGCCACACAACATGGGCAAGGAGGGGCACAAGAATGGGCACAAGCCACAAACAGCGGGGAGCAAGGGGCTTCAGGGAGGGTTCGTCTCCATAAGGAGCACCGAACACGTTTCACGGGCTGTGCAGACCTTCCAGAAGCACAACAGACAGACGACCTCCTTCTCTGATCTCTTGAGAAGCCAGCCTGCTTCTGTCACCCACAGCACTGGCTGCCCCCCAGGAGGCCACCCTTCCCCCCACAGATACCTCCTGCTGTCTGCCCTCGGACACCCTCTCCGCATGGCCATGGGACCACCATCGTGCAGGGCTGGGCTGCGTCTGTAGCATGGGGACTCCGGGCCTCCCGCCGGCCACCGCCCTGAAGCCCAGCAGGCCCTGGGAAAGGGGCCCCCGACTCCTGTCTCTCTCTCACCTGACTGTCCCGTGGCCGCAGTCCTGTCACCCTCCCCTGGCCCAGACCCCCTGTCTGGCCAGTCACTGATCCTGCAGCACATGCACCTGGCTGAGGTTTTCTGCAAGAGGAGGAGAAAGTGGTCCCAACCACCCTCCCCAGTGAGAGAGCAGGAGCGAAATGGAACATTACAGCTTCATCGTCCTATCCAGAGACATTGGAGTCATCTAGTAAGAGAAAACCCGAGCGCTAGGCCAGCACGTCTCCCTACCTGTCACGGGCAGGAGCGAGTCTCAAGATACTTAATTAGAGCCGCGTAGCCTCGCAGAAACCGCAGAAGCTTAACGAAGCAGGGCCGACAGAGCAGGCCGTCTCCTCCCCACACCTCAACGGGTGACTGCGGCACATGGACGGGACGGAGAAGCTGCCCGGATGGTGGCGGTGAGTGACAAGACCTTGCGACCCCCACCGTAGCTTCCCACATGGAGCTCGGCAGGCGCCGCGACACACCAAGGCCTGGAGGTCTCCATGCAGGCTGGCGGCCAGTTCCCTGGTCCTGGCTGCATGTGCTTGGCCCGGCACAGGGTGTGGACAGGCTGAACTCTTGCCCTGTGACCGGGGTGCAAACTTAGAAAACGCCAGGTGGGGCATCCAAACAACAACAAAGATGAACTTTGGTACATTGTCACATGGTAAAAAGACCCATAAATACACCTGAAGAACTTTCCCCAGAATCCATCCTCTGCACCGCTCTGTGGTGCCTACGGCTGGTGCAGGGCTCGGGACCCGTGCCCAGGCAGAGGACGTGGGGAGCGGGTCAGCTGCAGGGCAGATGCACCCTTTAACCCTGCTCACAGGGCCGAGATTTAAATCAGGGGCAGTGGACGTCCTGCCTCTCACCTACGCGGCATCCGGCCGCTGGGCCACCTCGACGACCACCTCTCTGGGGCCTGCTCAGGCGTCCCCCAGCACATCTGTGCCCTGGGTCTTGCTCCTCACCACGGAAGCCTCATCAGTTCGTGGTGCCACAGAGACCCACCCCCCACAGGCTTCCTCCCACAGTGGCCTCGGCCGCTCATCAGCACACTTGGTTGGCTGGCTACCACTCTGCTGCCTTCTCATCACCCCAAAATTAGGAACAGCCTGGCTTGCCACTCGCCAGGGCTCAGGCTTCCCTGCTTCCTTCGTATCCATGTTTGCAACAAACTCAAAGTCAAGATTTTGCTATAAAACACACGATGCTCTGCCTCTCCAGAGGCATACTCCGTCCTGTCCCTCCAAGTGTGCTTCCAGCCCAGCCACTTCTCCGCTTCCCCACCAGCAGCTGTGGCCAAGGCTGTGAACATCCCCCAAAACCTGCTCCCACCTGCTCGGTAATAACACCCCTGGTTATCTGAACACGACACGCAAAAGGAGGGCAGTTGCCAGACCCCTTGGAGCTAGATGCAGCCACGTGACCGGGTTCTGGCCAATGAGATTCTGGTGGATAGAAAAAGGTCCCCCGCCCGGGGTTGTCCCCATCCTAATCCCTGGAAGCTGTGACTGAGTGACCCGACATGCAAAAGGGTACTCTGCAGGTGAGATTAAGGTAAGGATCTTGAGATGAAGCAGTTACCCTGAATTTCCAGGTGGGCCCAATGTCACTACAGGGGTCCTTATGGGGGAGGGGGGGCGCAGAATCAGAATGGGAGCCATGACCAACAGAGGCAGAGGTCAGGCACCTCACCTGCCTCGGTCAGGCCCATGCCGACTCTCCGGGAGGCCAGAGGCCCCAGGCCACCCCGCTGTCCCTCAGCCATGTTGTCCTCAAGGGAAAACCATGCTTATGCCCGGTTATGTCAGCATCTGACAAGGGTGAAAACAACAGAAAACACTCAAGAAAACCATCAATAGAGAAAACAGGTAAAAGTTTAGTTTTTCATACATAACTTAAAAAAAGATATGAAAGAATACCAATATAAAAGATTCCATAGCAAATAATATTTATACAAAATCCAGTAAGAAAACATAATTTTATCACTTAAGATGATTCATAAAATATATTTTGCTAAAAAGCAAATCGACACGTCCTAGACAGAGACACCTGCCCGAGTGCAGCGGAAAGAAAGGAGCCTCGTGCTTCCCGGCGCCGAGCCCTGCCCGGTGGATGCCCGCAGGGCTCGGCCCACGGCTGGCTCCAGCAGCAGCTTCCTGCACTCGGGCACGAGAGCCGGTCAGGAGCACGGCACCCCCTCCACCTTTGGCCACGCTCCCCAGTTGCCCAGGCAGGTCAGCGAGGGCAGGAGGAGGCCCACAGAGCCAGCGCACATGAGTGTGTCCCCACGCTGCGGCGGGATGGGGGCCACCCCCGGCCGCTCTTTACTGGTAGGTGACCTTCACGCAGAACGCCTCTTCGTTTTTGTCTTCGTGGTCATTGATGTAAATCAGGATCTCCTCCTCCCCGGCGCTCTGACGAGGTGCAAACCGCAGGCCGATGGTGTAGGTCTCTCCTCCCCTGACCTGGAAGGCAGCAAGCATCCAATCCCAGGCTACCCCAGCCACTGCTCTCTACTCTGGCAAGTTCTACGCGTGCAAACCCGGGCTGACAGAGGAGGTTAAGCTGAGGCTCCAGACCCCAAGGCCTGAGGCAGGCAGGACTCCAGACTCCTGATGTTCTCAACTAAATTTCCCAGTGTTACGGGACACAGCTGCTCTTCCCATGCCCCAGGGGACACTTCACAACAAGAAACACCCTCCACTGACAGACTGTGATGAGCTGCACTTTCTTCAAAATACAACAGAAAAAAGGCTAATTTGCAGGGCACTTGTGGGTAAAGCCACTGATAAACTGCAGGGCAGACTGGCCACCAGAACCCCTGCAACGGTGCCTAGATGTGGGGGCCCCAGAAACACAGGCAGAAGAGCTCAAAGAGGGATGCCCGCCCCCCCATCTAGTACCTTCCCCAGTTCAGATCCGCACTGCTCCCTCCCAGGACTCTCTCAAGACCACCCATTATTAGATGGAACTGTTCCTAAATGTGGTGCCGACCCTCACACCTCGGGGCTCCCGGGAGAAGCAGAGCCCGAGGGCCCCCCCCACACGCAGCCCTCCACACCCCGCACAGCACCCGCACCTGGAAGCAGTCCTCCCTGAACTGCAGCAGGTCAGGGTGGTCGCTGTGCAGGTGGTAGGTCCTCTGGGAGGGGTAGGGGTTGGTGTAGGTGATCCGCTTGTTGGCGCCTTTGCCTTCCCCCGCGGCCAGCGTGATCTCGAAAGCCTGTGGAGGCAGGGGCAGCAGTCGCCCTTCCTGAGCCTGCTCTGTATGTGCCACCTGACGTAGGGCATCTCCCTAAATAGGACAGACCCCCGCTGCGGGGGCTCCCCATACAGACGCAACCCACACCCCTACCCCCAGGCCACAGACTGCAGAGGAGGACACAGGACCGGGTGACAGTCAGGTGACATACCACCCAGACCCCGTGTGCCCCTCCAGACCTTGGAAATGAGAGGTGGACGGCCAGAGAGGCACACAAGCCACGAGGCCACCAGCTGGTGGTAGTCCACGTCGACCAGGTTAAGGTGGATGAACCGGCTCCCTGCTCTCCGGGGCCTCACAGCAACGTGCAGATCCTGCACCCCGTGAGGTGGCAGCACAAACACACCCTTGGGGTCCGTCTTTAAGAAGAGCAGAAAGAAGCGGGTCAGGACGCCGTCCCTCACACTGTGCAGACCAGGCGCTTCCTGAAACCTGCAGCTCAGGGCACAGAGAGAATCCCAAGGGAACCCCCGCTCTTCCGGGGGCAGGGGGCCCACGTGGCCTGCGCGAGGTCAGAAGGGGCCCGAGCGACGGTGCCAGATCTGAAACCAGACCCAGCCACACCGTCAGGTCCGCATCACCACCTGTGCGGGCAAGCGTCCTCCGTGTGGCCATGGGCCCCTAAGCACCAGAGCTGCCTCAGCAGAGGGAGATCTCAACGAGCTCCAGCTCAAAACCCTGGCAAGGAGTCTGCATTGCCCTCATCATCCAGACGCATAATTGTGGCTAAATTAATTCCAGAGCTGCTATTAATATTTGCCTTCCAATAATTTTTCTAAAAAGTGGCCTTTGGGGTTTATATGTCACTCATCCCATGATGGCATATCCAATAAAAGGCAATCTGAATGAAGACTCTACCGCGAGTCTTGTCCACAGGACCCACGCCGTCCGTTCCCAGGGTGGGGTGAGGAGGGGAGAGGCCAGAGAACACCCAGTGACCCACCTTCAGCTCCTGGGGGTGCGAGGTGAAAGCCTGCACTCTCCGAACCGTCTGTGTCCCCCGAAGGACAAGGGACAGGCGGGTCTGCTGGCCTGTGACACAGGAGACGTCCACGCGCTGCAAGGAGTGAAGGTGGACCTGCCATATCTGGACAGGGGTTGCCAGCCAGTTATCCCTGTGCAGGACAGAAGCGGTTATCAGGGCTGGTGAGGACAACAGCACCAACCGGGAGATAGAAGCCGGGAAGAGGCCGAGAAGGTGGCCAGGAGGACAGGGGCCGAAGAGACAGGGTGAAGCCCAGCTGCCATCACCCTCGCAGCCACCTTCCCCTCACTTTGAAGGCCCACTTTGACTTTGCACCACAACACCCTACATGAGTGACAACGTGGGCTTCTGCCAGAAATGTCACAGTCCCAAACCAGGTGGCTTGGGGTGAAGCCCGTGGAAAGCAGGACACGGAAGAGTCTGTGGGCTCAGAGGTCACGCAGGCCAGAGCTCGTGGGCCCCATCCTAGCTGCCTGGTGCTGCAGGACAATACCAACCCTTTCCTGTAAGTGGGGCTCAGTAACCCTGCCCCTCGGGTGTCCACACAGCCCGAGACGGGCACTGAGCGCAGTTATCCCCTGCCCCATTCCCAGACATCCGATTCAAAAGCCCCCAGCCTGGCCAAGTTTTAAAAGATCCTCCCTCAAGGGACTGGAACAGGAGACTTCCAAGGAAAAGGTAGAGGAACAGGGTTATTTCAACTGAGTGGGAGAAGCAGGAAGGCGATGTGATCACCGTCTCAGGCATGGAAGGATAATGACTGCCACCTTCCCTCTCCCCTGGTCGGAACCGGGCACTGCACTGGGGCAGACGCCGCCTTGGGTTTCTCTCCTTGGTGGGCTCTCCACGCGTCCCTCAGGCCGCTGGTGCTGCTCCGATCAGAGGGCGCCCTTTGCGAGGCCCCTGCCAGCCCTGGAGTCTCCCGTCCCATAGCCAAAGGACCGACAACGAGCCCCGTCAGGAGCTCGGGAAGAGCCCAGGCCGGCCCTTCCAATGCTGCAGCTGCTTCCCACCCCCGCCCACCCCTCCAGACCTCTGGAGGTCGTGTTCATGGACTTACGCGTAAACAGTGACAAAGAAGTCTTTGCTCTCCGGGCTTGGCCCACTAGCCACCTTCAGGAACACATCCCGTGGCTCCCCGAGGCCCTGGTGGACACGGGCGCACCCTGAGAACACTGCCTGCCTCCCCACTCCGAGCCCAGCCCCCTGAGCCTGCATGAAGCAGAAGCAGGCGGGAACCAGGCTCCCTCCCTCCCAATAGGTGTTTAATTTTCAGTATTAGTCAGAATTCACTCTTCTTTTTTTTTTTTCACTGCAAAAAAGAAAATCATTAACTTCTTGATTTCATATTGAGTTCAATAATTATATTCTGCAGGAGATTTTATCCAATTTCCTAACCAGTCATAACACAATTATTGCCCTTATTCTTTACACAATGGCAATTAATAAGTGGCTTAATTACCACCCACTTTATTCACTTTGCTTCCTGCCTTTTTTTTTCATTTAAATTCAGATAATCAAAGAACTGATCTGCTAGCAGAAAAGATGAAAACTCATGCATAAAGCTTCCACAAGGATATCAAAATACCCCGTTAGCACCTTAGAAAGATACCACTTAACTGAAAACCTACAAGGAAGAGGCTGCCGGAGGCCAGGGGGCTCAGATGACGGGGGGCTGGCTGGGTGATGGGCTCGGCAGAACTTACCACATTCTGGGTCTCACAGATGACGTTGGGGTCGCTACATCGGACGTGGACTGGGGGTTCCTCACCAGGTCTTCCCACGGGAGCACCTGGGGCAGGGAATATCAGAACAAGCGTCTTTTCTGGACAGGCCTGGGCCACGTGTTGTCACTGTCTGGGGCAGGCCTGGCCCGTCACAGGTACTAACAGACCCCTGCTGGGAGACGGGTGATGCCACCCTACCCCAGTCCCGCCTGCGTGGGCATCGGCACTCCCGCCATTAGCCACGTCCTCGGGGACCTATCCGAAGGGAGTGACCAAGAGTGAATGGGGGGACTATGGAATAAGGTGCCCGACACAGAAGACGCACCAGACCAGGACCAGGGAAGTGACTGAGCAGCCCAAGGCACGAGTGAACTCCAGGCACAACCCTCGGGGCCATGGGTTTTAGGAGGTAGAATCGGCCCGCCCAGGGCACCTCAGAGGACGTGAGGTCACCATCTCAAACGACAAAGGCAGGTGGAGAATTTACAGGTGGGTCACAGGCTGGAGTAAGAGCATCACGGGATCACATGATCATGCCCCTTGTCACCCTCAGGGAGAAACCTTTTCCCATCTGTTGAACCTGTCAAACGCCAGCCGTGGGGACCGATGGGACCTGCCTGGAAGCGTGTGCCAGGGAGGCAGGCGGATGGCCTTCTTCAGGAAGGTGAGCTCCGGGTGGTAGAAGCGGAAGACCTGGTCCACCACGTGGGGCTGAGTCTCCACGGTGAGGCAGAGCACGGCGATGGGCTTGCCGCCACTGCCCCGGAACAAGACCTGCCGAGAGAGCAGACGGCGCCAGCGTCAGGCCCGGCCCGCGGGCCCGCGGAGAGCTGTGTGCACCCCGCCAGGCTCCACGGGGCCCGCTCCCCCCGCGAGGTGGGAGGGTCAAGCACTGTGAGAAACGGGGGACGGAGCCTGCAGCAGCACGCAGCACAGGGATGGCGCGTGGACGTGCTCTCGTGACGCACGCGTCGCGTGTAGCTGCTGGTCCTGCCAGTTCTCGTAAGTACGGCCCACGCCTCGACCGCCAGCCAAAGGGTGTGCGGCCAACATCGACATGCCCTCAGCCACCGTGCCACCCTCCAGCACGCCCGCCGTGCGCGTGCGGGGCAGCTGCTCCGAGGGTCTGGCGTTAACCCGCCAGTCCTCGCGGGTGGTAGCGGAGCTCTTTGATTGCAGACGGTAAAAGGAGGCTGTCCCTAAACCAAAAAGGCTAGAAATATAAACTTCCTTTTTTAAAAAAAAAGTTACTGGGGCGCCTGGTGGCTCAGTCAGTTAAGTATCCAACTCTTGGTTTCGGCTCAGGGTCAGGAGACTGAGCCCCACGTCGGGCTCCACGCTCAGCGGGGAGTCTGCTTAAAATTCTCTCTCTCTCTGCCCCTCCAGCCCCCGAGCACAGGCGCGCGCTCTCTCTCCCTCTCTCTCAAAAATAAATAAATCAGGGCGCCTGGGTGGCTCAGTTGGTTAAGCGACTGCCTTCGGCTCAGGTCATGATCCTGGAGTCCCAGGATCGAGTCCCGCATCGGGCTCCCTGCTCGGCAGGGAGTCTGCTTCTCCCTCTGACCCTCTTCCCTCTCGTGCTCTCTGTCTCTCATTCTCTCTCTCTCAGATAAATAAATAAAATCTTAAAAAAAAAAAGAAAGAAAGAACAGGTATCTTCATTCCCCAGCTCCGTCTGGCCCTGAGCTCTCCAGGCCCCTGAATGAGGGCAGGCACGCAGCCTGACAGCCGAGGCGACCTTCCCACATCGATGGAGAACTCGGGCCTCCAGACAAACCTGCCACACGGGGAAGACGTGTTTATTGTGAAATCTTTTAAATGTACATATATAAAAGGCTATCTATGTAAAACTCTGTTTAAGTCATAAATCGTAAGAGGACGGCCACCACGAGCCCAAATCCCCGCTGGGCTGGACCCCCCACCCACACTGCTGAGCTCCGGGTGCCCTGCCAGCCCTGCCCGAGGACACCCCCTTCCCGACTCTGTGGGCACCGTCCTGGCTTGGCCTTGCTGTTTTCCCACCTTCGGACCTTTACGCCATGCTGTGCTTGGTCGTGCCTGTCTGGAGCTCGGCCTAAATGCCCTCCCCGTCTCGCGTGCGCTCACTCAGCTGGGAGAGAAGCTCCCGCGAGCGCAGCGGCCGCCCACCTTCTGTGCCGACACTCTGGCCACAAGTGCATCACCACGCGGAGACCACGTGTGTGTTCAGCTGCTGCACCTGCTACAGACCGGGTCTCCGCCCCAGCTACCCCACCTTGCCCTCCCCTGCTCTGGCCCCCACAGTCCACAGTTCTCCTCCCCTGGCAGCTCCTGGAAGCACGGGGCCTAGCCAGGCTCGGGATGGAGGGGATCCTCTGGTCAGCCTCAGCCAGAGACCCGGCCTTGTCCAACAATGCTGGGAGCACCCTCCTCTGCTCCTCCTCTGCGGGGTCTCAGGCTTACTGCCCACTCTGCACAACCGAGTTCTGGTATTTGCAGCTTCAGCTCGCTGTTCCCTAGCACAAGGGGGGCAGGTAGCCACTTCCGGCCATGTCTACCTCCTAGAAAATTTGGAGTTCTGGTTTTACCATTCCAGTGACCTGGTTAATACGTGAGCAGTTAACCTAGTTAACAGTGCTTCAAAAGGGGCGCCTGGGCGGCTCAGTCATTAAGCATCTGCCTTCGGCTCAGGTCACAGTCCCAGGGTCCTGGGATCGAGCCCCGCATCGGGCTCCCTGCTCGGCGGGAAGCCTGCTTCTCCCTCTCCCAC